ACATCTTCCCTGGTCTGTGCGGAATCTATTTAATATTGCCCATTTTCTTCTAGGTAATTTGAAACAGTCAGTTTTTAGAGGTATTGCAAAGCATAAACAGTAGCCGGCGGAATCGATATACGCCCACTAAATGTATTACTAAATATACATTCATTCTAARCACTAATAAGTATATTAATGATGTACATAACATTTTATGAAGTATAACTTTTTTGGAAGTTTGCATAATTGCCGTATAACGTCCAACGATATGTTATGTATTATATATGCACTATATACACGATATATTATACTGTACTGTTCCTAAACATTAAGTTAGGTTAACGTAAGTGTTTCATTTGTGCGAATTTAAAAATAATTTATACCGTAATTAAGGTGAATTTCGGTAAATCATTTGAGTGAATAAAACATGTGTGAACGAATGTTTTTTATTTTTATTTTTATAATAAGTGTAAAATATAACATTGTGGCGTAGTTGTGCACTGCACGCAACCATTCTGAGTACTATGTATATTMTTATAACAAGCGCGTATGCCGAATAACACTAATAATATTATTATTTTCGTATTATTTCTAATTTTAAAATAGTTAATCACAGTAATAATATATTTTATCTAAATGTATAATAAAACTAGTTTCCTGAAACTGTGCATTCGCTTGAAGAGAGACGCACTGTACTGAACCTCTGAAACGGTGATTAGTTATTGTTATCACTGTCTAGCTTATCATACTTCCATGCTTGGTATATGTATATTATTATGTATTGTATACATGTTAAGTTAAATATTGTAAGAATAATTTGTATGGATTATCTTTATGTAATCAAATTAAGAACAAGTGATGAATAAACAGCGTGTTAAATAATATATTCATTATAAAGTATAAAAATACAATATATTATCTGTGCAAACATTATTTATTAATATTATTTATCCTGTGTGTGCGTCGATGAATACATCGACGCACACAATTGGGCATTGGCTATTTCTGCTGAACGATTTGTCACACACCTCGTACGCGTACGGTTTTTCACCAGTGTGTGTGAGTCGATGTACTGTCAAGTAGCTACATTGGCTGAATGATTTGTCACACACATCGCACACAAACGGTTTTTCGCCAGTGTGTGTACGGCGATGTATTGTCAAATCATTGCTCTTACTGAATGACTTGTCACACACATCGCACCCATACGGTTTTTCACCAGCGTGTGTACGGCGATGTACTGTCAAGTAACTACATTGGCTGAATAATTTGTCACACACATCGCACACATACGGTTTTTCACCAGTGTGTGTGAGTCGATGTCTTGTCAAGGTGCTACATTGTCTGAATGATTTGTCACATACCTCGCACGCGTACGGTTTTTCACCAGTGTGTGTGAGTCGATGTCTTGTCAAGGTGCTACATTGTTTGAATGATTTGTCACACACATCGCACCCATACGGTTTTTCACCAGTGTGTGTGAGTCGATGTCTTGTCAAGGT